TGGCCTATATATATATATATATATATATATATATATATATATATATATATACAGTATTTACATGTTGGTGACCGTCAGAGTCTTTAGCTACTTTTGAATGAAGATTTTTTTTTTTTTTTACCACAGCAACTATTTGTCTGAGGCTTACTTTTAATCTGTCTGCTCTTCTGTCTGCCTCTCACTAATTTGGCAGTCAGCAAGTGAGCAACAGTGTGGTTACCATGGTAACCCCTGATGATCCACTTGCAGCAGCTTTAACATTTCGTTTAATTTCGGTTCTTTTCACAATTTTTCTGTTTATACACAAAACTTCATTTTATTGGCATAAATTATTAAGAATTACGTTTCCATTTACTTGGAAGTAAGTTTATATTGGAATTTTGGACAGTAGCTGCACAGGTGCCCATCATAATTTTATTAGAATATTTCTAGGTTTGTTTATTATCAGAAATATGTCTCCTAAAAAGCACAAATTATTATTCTTTTTTTACTTAATTGTTGAGGCTTGTAGCAAAGCATCAACAAAAACATTGTATTTTTTTTCTTTTGGCAGCAAAATGCTTAGTGACTAGTTACATAACTGTGTTTTAAAAGGCTGCATTTTCTAATCTTTTTGACAATAACTTTGAAAATATGCCCGTTTGTCAGGGGAGAAACGTTGAAGATGATGCAATCAGGGCTAGACAACCTGACCAAGCAGAGGATGTTGCAGGCCAGAGCTCTGTCTCAGGAGGCCAGAGGAGGTGAGTCTACAGACAGTATGCTAAAACACAGGTGACATGTTCATTTTAGATACAGACTTTCATGTGTTGACTTATTTATTCCAGAGATCAGTATAGAACAGAGCGACGCATCAGTCAGCTTGGAAACAAGCAGCGCAGCGATACACTAAAATCCCAGGGGTGGCTGTGTCTTGTTGAAATTCTCCAAACATTCGAGCAGCGGAGACGATCCCAACTCCGCCGTTTGTTTCCCACCGCCGAAGGCTTTGAAACCGAGTCTCGCAAACTCAGCAAAATGCGACTCCCGCCGTTGAATTCTTTTTCACGGACCGATCAAAGGCAGCTCCTCGAGGGGTGGCATATGCCCAGACCGCTCCTGACACTTATCATGCTCGAGTAAAAAGGGCCATCTGTTCCGACACAAGTCTTTCATCCACAGATCCTATTTATATGCCCAGTTTCCCGTTCAACTCTGGAGCACAACAAACATTACACACCACTTGACATCATCTCGAAGCTATTTCAGACCCACCGTCATGCCGTGAGTGAGCACACGGAGAGACACTGAGGAAAAGCTGCATGGATACTTAGTGACGCTGCACTTGGTTTGGCGTCTTCAGATCAGTCCAACTCAGCAGTCTTGTGATGACTTCATGTCATTTAGCAGTATTGTACATTATCCAAAATGTAACACACTTTTTATAACTTGCTATTTATACCTAATGAGGGGAGACATTTCAAATGATCAGAGTTTGATGGAAGAAGACCTAAAACAAACAGACTGGCAATGTCAGAGGACCAGTCTAAGCCAGAAAACATGCAGACAGTTGTATCAAGAGGTACGATCAAAATACAGAATCCACGTTTAAGAGTCAGCCTAGGTCTGGGGTCTGCAACCTTTATGATCAAAAGAGACATTTCTGTCCCTTTGCACACTAAATAAAATGTTTATAGAGCCACAAAACCTGCTAAAACTGTGATTATTAACTGGTGGTCCATGGGCCACTTCAAGCATGTTGGAGGAGGCTTTTCTGGCCAGTAGGTATTATAAAACTAAAATATCAAATTATTATTAATATTTATTTATATTTTCGGGCAAAAGAAAAGCATGGTTTTATGTAAAGAAGAAAAATATACATATTTTTTAACCAATTTTATAAAAATTCAAACAGGCAGGCTTATGTGAGTTTTCTTAACTGTGGAAACTATTCATAAAGTATCCTATTACGAAGTAATAAAGTATACATTTAAAAATTGGGCCTGTTTGTTCGGATACATAATAGAATTTTAAAATGAAAATAAATATTTCCATTTTCTTTGTTTTAAATTTCTTTAATCTTTATTAAACCAATTCTTGAATTGCGAAAGCTCCTCGATGAGAAACGAAACGTCTTCAGTTACAAATAAAGTCCAGTTGTTTTGTTTTTAACATTTTTTGGATTCAATCTTTATTGTTATCAAGTTGACTCATCATATTTCTTCTCAGCAACCTGCCTTAAAGGTATTTCCCTAAAACCGTTTGATGGATTTGAGAAAAAAATCAAACCGTAAGACTGGAAGGAAGCTAAAACCAGTGGCTAACAAACTGCTAGCATTATCAACAAGTTTTATTCCTTGTGTTAGTACCATCATTCACATACTGGCAAAAGAAATGACTGGAAAACTGCTAAAACTAGTTATTTCTTGTTGTTGGTACAACAACCAATAAATTCAGTTTTGTGTTAGTTTTGGTCAAAACTTGGATCCGCTGCAGAGGGACCAAAAAACCCCAGGCTTAGGTGGTTTCAAGGATTCAAGGTTCTTTATTGCCATCCGCATCACATGTGGTAAATGAGGTGGAACGAAAATGTGTACACAAGGTCCCAGTTACATCCAACAAAAGTATAAAATGTAAAAGACAAACAGTAATAAGATCTAAGATATGAACTAAGAAAACATTAACTAAAAATACACTAAGAACTAAATGTGATTAGGATCTCCTTTCAGTGGAGACCCTGGGGCAGACCCAGAACTTGATGGAGGGATAATGTATCCTCTCTGGCCGGAGATCCTAGGAGGAGCTGAAGAGTGTTGCTGGGGAGAAGGATGATTCAAGTCTAGGTTCTCCAGAGTGTTAATAAATTACGGTAGAAAGAGAAAAAGACAAACTGAAAGAGATCTGTACATTTCTAGTCATATCCTAATTCTCAAGAACAGGACTTTAGTATTTTTTTAAAAGGGGTAAAAGGATATGAGATACTAATGTGCCTGACCATAATACAGCTTTCTATGAAGAGGTGGTCCATTCCAAATGTCCCAGAGCTGACGTCAAGAAAAATAACACCTCTTTTTATCCACAACAATGTTTTGTTGGTTTGAATGTCTCTAGCGTAGTCTTTTAGAAAGTTTTCCCACATATCTACTATAGATGAATGACAAGCTGAGTACCATCTAAGGAACTGGATTTTGAGGGTGTATAGTATTTGGCTTGCATTCATGTATTTTTTATGTTTGATTCTGCAAATACTGGAAGTATTCAGGCTGTTATCAGCCGTTCAAGTGCAAAAGTCATATCTGGTGGTATAAAGTTGTATCAGTGCTTTTGCAAATGTCTTTTTCTTTGTTACACTTGTAGCAGTAAAGCTGAAATGTATTTTTTGCAGGATAAAGAAAAAACACATTAGCCCTGATTACCCACAGTGCTTTAATGTACTGTAAGTTTCTTTGCGCAGGAATGACATTGCAAAGAAGTAAACAAAAAACTCATTTTCCAATTTTATTGGCAATGTGTTGCCAGCCTGAAATACAGACATAACTTGTCATACTTAAAATAATAGTTCAGTTCTTACAATGCGGGGTTCTGAGCAATTATTATTATCTTCCCAGTTGTAAATAGCTCTTGGAACGACCTTGGTTTAGTGAAAATGAGGTTGTTTACAAAGATCTAAACAATTACTTTAAGTCACTCTCTGCATTTGTCCGTGTTGTTGTGCAACAGGTCTGAACTTGGGAAAAAAGATCAGTGTTCCTAAAGATGTGATGATGGAAGAGCTCAACCTTTCATCCAATCGGGGCTCTCGCATGTTTCAAGAGAGACTGAAGAGGGCCGAGAAGTTCACTGTGGAGAACGCATCCAGCGGTCCTTACAACAGTGTAAGGAACTGAGTGAAGACATGCAGCACAATGGCCTACATGCATCCCACTGTGACCAAGTCAAAAATAATTCTACAATTCTGAGCTGTATTTAATAGAGACTAATCCATACAAGAATTTTGGGCACAGATGTCAAAACATAGGGCACAAGATTTTTTTAATGGGCTATAAAATGTTAGGGTTATCACAACTTTTTAATCAAACTTTTCTGTATTTTGTTTTTGTAAATCAAGCTTAGGTCACCACAACAGCATACAAACTGGATCCATCAATCCATCGTCTAGGCTCTAACAATCGCAGCAGGGTTGGTGAATAACCCAAAGAGCTATAATATAGTTATCTGACACATATTAGTTGGAACGCTCCTCAACCATTAATGGAAAAGTTAGGGTCCAAGTGTAAAACTGGTGGTGTTATGTCATTTAAGACTTGAATCCATCCTCCAAAATCTAAATCAGTATGTTTCCCAGGTTCATCTCGAGGCCAGTCCTCCCCAGCAGATCGCCCCCGAGCTGCAGGGAGGAAAAGAGAACCAGGCTTTCTCCATCCCGGGTAAGCATAGCCTGGTCATGAACCTTCAGAAGACGGTAGCAAAGAAGGGCAGTCCTGATGTCCTGGCTCCAGGTAAACAGTAATGCATGGTGAAGAAGGGATGGTCACAGACTGCAACAAGCTGTGGCTCCTTTGAAAAGCAAAAGCTTGTGCAATGCATGGACACTGTCACGCTCTGAGAAGCCACAGCTCACTTTTCCAACGGAAACATACAGAGCGCATGATTTTGTATTGGTATAATTAAAGCCAGGGGAGTTGGCAGTTTGTGGAAAACAATTATCTGTGAGCATCTCTGCTGAGGGGCTGTCGCTGTATATCTGGCCTGGCAGAAGACACTGCTTACAGTCTGATGAGCGACTAAGCTCCTTCTATTATCAGGGATTCACACTGAGATAGAATTACTGTCATTCCTATCCCTGACAGGAATGACATTTAAGCAATGTGTGTGTACATTTGATCCGTGGGTGCTTCAACACAGCATGCTTATTTATTCAGCTTGTATGCATTGTATATAATGGAAAAACACATTAATTCTACTACTGGTATCTTAGAAGACACAGTTAGACATGAAATATTGGAAAAACAAAAAGTATGACACCTCAAGCTTAGTTAGATGCTTCTTTTAGGGTAATGTCTGCATTTGAGAGTTTTAATTGTCTTTTGCCAGGGTATTGTGGACCTTTGAAGGAAATTGCCCATGAGAAGTTCAACTCAACAGTAATCCCCAAATCCTATTGCTCCCCGTGGATGGAAGCTTTGGGAGACAGCGAAGCGCTTCTGAATTCCCTCAACACCCAGCTGCCACAAGCCCCACAAAGCCTACAGCCTGCCAACTACAGGTGCTTCAACAGGTAACGCACCTGTTCTTCATCCACCGAGTCTATTCGTGTAAATCAAACCTTGAACAATCCTGTTAAGTTTGCCCACCGTCTTAAAAATAAACTCTCAAATGACCTCACTGAGTTATCCATCATCATCTTTTCCCTCGGCTTCACTCCATGTTTCCACAGTTTGAAAGAGAATCCCGTCTCTGGCTTGCACCTCCTCGGAGTGTGGCAGTGAGATGGCTATTTTCATCTCTGGCCCTTGACAGATGAGCCACCAGTGGGGTAGTGGGGGTCTACAAGCTTTTTACGGTCCCATTAGACATACTGCACATTGAAATGTGAAATCAACTTTCTTGTGGCGTACATACGGGGCAGATTGACAACTTTGAGTCAATGCAGTCTATCAAGAGTCTGTCAGCACGTTTGGATCCTCTTACATCCTTAAGATTATGAAATTACAAGTTTAACTAACGTTGAGCTCCAACGGTGGGAGCAGCTACACAGCAGAGGTCGAGTTCAGTGCACACCCAGCTGCATTCATCTTGAATCCCTGCTGGTTTAAAGCAGAGCCCAGATCATGTGTCAGGGACCCAGTTAAGGGAAGGGGTGATAGTTGTGTTCTCTACAGTGAGTGTAGCCCGTTTGGTAAGGGGTCTCCTTTTGTTTTTTCCTAATCAGATCTGCAATGCCATTCGGTGGCACGATGACCAGCAAGAGAGTGATTCCAGTTATTGGCTTCGAGGCTGTGGAGTCCCAGAACCTGCCCGGCAACACTTTAGACCGCATGTACCGACGACCCAACTTCAACAAAGCGCCCAGAGGATGGGGCACCAACTTCAGTCCCGAATCTAATGAACTCTGAAATCGAGTTAATAAGCTAAAGACTGCAGCACAAACATCTTCTCTGACAAGACAATCCAGCTGATGAGCGTAAGAACGTGGAGAAGTGAAAAATAACTCTGAGACATGATAAATTAAAGTGATCTGCTACTGATTTGAGCTCTTGAGCCGAACACAGCTGGTATACAATCAAATCTGAGTGAAAACCACAGCTGGATGAGTCTTAGATTACTTTAGTCTTGCGCCTCTCCTCTAGTCACCAGACAAAACAAAACCAATGACTTTTACAATGAGACGGACTTGACAAAAGTCATTTTAATGATTTTAAACATGAAAAAAGTAGACTTAGAATAAGGTAATTATACTGCTGTAAGGATGAGATTTAGTAGTAAAAAAAAGAAAAACACAAAGTCAATGTAACTGAAAATGAACAGATTTTAAAATGCTTCTCAATATTCAGCTCCATGTTGGTGCATAATTAAATGAAAAGAAGATTAAAGTGAGAAAACAAAACAAGGTTTCATATGTACACCAGCTCTACATGCCCTGGTCATGTTGGTAAATACATTTGTGTCTTAAGTCTTTTTTTTTGATAACAGAGTCATCATGTACAAGCCTTCCTGGAGTTTCCTGTGACAGACTGTGCTCTTTCATTTGGCTTGCTCCTCTGCAGGTGGGAGTAATAAGAAATAACTAATCCCAGCGACGCTTGTTTCCACTAAAAGTTGTCTTCAGGTTCGCAGCAGCTCTTTGTAAAAACATCTGAGCGGGTCTGACATAAGGGCGAGAAACGTCTAATCTAGCAGCTATTCGGTGTGACGTGAGGCAAGTGCAGCGTGAGCACCCATGCGCTGAGGATCCTGGGAGGGATAATGGATTGTCCCCGGAGGTCTCATTGTCATAGGAGGGGGCACAGGTGGGGCCATGTGACCCAAAGGGTGAAACATTGGAGGGCCAAAACCTGAGCGAGCAAAAGAGAAAAAACAATACATTTAAGTTCCTACTGAGACTATATTCTGCAAAAGCGCAATATTCAACAGATCTTACCTGGAGGGGGTGGGTTTAGGCCTGGGGGTGGGGGCAAAGCAATGTTCATGATGGCAGGGGATGAGCTAGGGTCCAGATTGAAGTAGTTTGCAGGCGCCTCTTCATCTAGAGCTGGTGGTGGGGGCAGAGCTAGAATAAAGAGAAGTATTGCACATTAAAGATGTTTAGCTTTGCTTTATTTTAAGCTACAGTTTGCATGGTTTGATAAAAGTTATTTGTTGTTTATTTAAATCTAAGAAATAAACAATAAATTATATTTTAAATTACTTTTTGTGTGACTGTCGTTCATAAATTCAAACTTTCTCGGCAGACTCACCTCCAGGCAGTCCGGGTACAGGATCGAGTCTGGTGCCCATCTCACTCACACCGTCCTTCACACCCTCTTTGCCTTTTGCTGCTTGAGATCTAAAAGAGACGCACGATCTTGGATTTATGAAACGAAACGACAAACAAAGGGTGCACAGCGCAAAAAGAGCACTTGGCAGAACTACGTCTTTATTACAGCTCAAGTCTTTGTCTCTTCATAATCACTTTTTAAATGTGCTGCAGTATTTATGAAAACTTTTAACAGTGGTGGTGAGATCACTTTGGGCTGCTACAAACACTTCATGTATCCCGCCTGGCATTTAACAAGCTCATTCTAGCACGCAGGCCCAAGTGTGTTAGGCGGAGCTGCATGGGAGCATGGGAGAAGCATCTCACCTTCCCCACTTGACAGTCAGCCTCCGTCCGTTGATGATTAGTTTGTTGAAGGACTTCTCTGCAGCCATCTCGGCCGCCTGTCGTGTGGCAAACTGGATGAAGGAACACTGCTGCCTTTGGACTATGGTGATGGTTCGAATTTCACCAAATTGGTAAAAGTGGCTCCTGTAAACATGCAGATACAAAAGCTTGTTAGACCAAAATTATTGTTAAAATCAGAACACATACCCCATTCATGAATAATAAAAATGTTGAGGAAGGAGAGCTTTACTTCAGATCTCCATCTGTGACATTATCTCCCAACCCCCCGATGTAAAGGGTGGTGATGGATTTGTCCTCTGGTGGATCCAGTCGGGGCATAGTCGAGGCCCGTTTCAGCAGCTTGTCAGCGACCGGATCATTGATGCCATAGTAACGGTCTTTAATGTTCTGGTCAGCCAGAGGATCCTCAGGATCCGTAGGCTTCTCGTGCCTAATTACAACAAACACAAAAAGCCTTTTTTTTAAAAAAACCTTTTGCAATCTTACTTGAGATAAAATTCCTACATGAGCTGTACTGCACAACTTTAAAGCACAACGTATGAATCATCCAACTCTTTTTCACCTGTAAGGACACTCCTCCCCCCTCTTACACTCTCCCTTCACCCAGAAGGAGCAGATATGGGGGCGATTTCTCTTGTAGTATGGGGTAGTTCGAGCCAGTTTGAGCAACATGTCACTGGAGCTGGTCGCCTTGCCAAGCTGGCCCACCGGCCGAGTGCCATCAGAATGGGCTATCTGTGAACACAGGTTCAAACAGAAACCAAACATCAAAAAATACAGCAGGATCTAGGCTTATGTTGAAAATACCCTAAGTCAAGCGGATTTCAGGATACTATGGTCCTGTTCAGATCTGGAAATAACATCCACCTTGGACATTTTGACAGTAAAAGGAGAGAAATGTTTAAAACTGGATGTACAATGTGTACATTAAAACATCTCAGTTACCCCCTCTGTATGCAGATAAACATGTTAACAGATTAACACAGTGTGACAGCAGGTCTGCTCATGTTTCTGTACAAATTACCATACATTCAGACACCTGGACTACATTATTATGAGACATCTGAGTTGCATATATCTGTACATTGACTTATTTAGTACAAAACACAAGCTTAATTACTTAACAGACACAATACGAGAAAAATAAACGAAGAGTTATTGGAGACTTGACAGAGCTTTGTGAATGTTTCTGTATTGTGCCCTGAGATGACTTCTGTTGCGACTTGGCACTACATAAATAAACTGAATTGAAATTTAACCCACAAAACTCCATCACAGTAAAACTGCACATAACATTAACACAGCATTTAATTAGGCAAATGTAATGCAACACAACGCCGCTCAGACTTTTGTTGATTAAACACAGCACAGTTTAATACACAGCGTCCACAGCAGGTCCTGTCAGGTCCATAAACAATCAGAACAAACATTAAAGTAAAGTGAAACATGAAATGCATCATTATTTGATTCACAGGAGAAGGGTATTGACAAATAGTGAATAAAACTTTTAGCCAACCAACAAGAACCAAAACAAAAAGTATGTTCACAATACTGCCATGGATGGCTTCAGTTATGTTTTTTTATCAAATGACAGCTAAAACATAACCAAGACATCCAGGTAACATTTCTGCTGCTTGTGTGGGAACACATCAGTTTAGTAGGAGGTCCTACAGCTCGGCTCAGCATTCAGACAACCAAATGTCAGATAAGAGGAGTCCAAAACTAGCTCGGAGTGTGGTCTGAGTAAAAACGTTTTAAATGCATACTGAGGCCATTCCCACCAGTATTTTGCGCTATACAGATCTTATCAATCAGGGTGAATGTTAGCCCCAAGGTCTGATTGGTGTCTATAAAAATGAACCAAACCACTTGAGTGGAATAAAATTAGGTAAAAATTTGAGAAGTTGCAAATTATGATCGAATTTAAAACATTGATAAGAATCAGACACAGCTTCAAGAGATATTAAAATGAGGTGACAAGAAAAAAAAAGTGCATAATTAAGTTTAGCTCATGTCATTGCAGTTGAATACAAGTCACCACACTGAGCAGTTAGACTGCAGTCTTACCTCTCTCTCCATGTTCTGTGTGTAGTACTCTTTATTCACATCTGACCTGGGAATGTCATCCTTTATCGAGAGTCCGGTATCTCGAACCTGGATAGGCAAACCTGCCAAACAGAAGTTTTATTTAGCTTTTAATAATGACTATCTAATAACAGCCACGAAATTTTTTTTTTTTACAAAAAGTGCAAATTGAATGGGAGACAGAGACTCACCGTATTCCAGGTCCAGAAGACACGTCTGACAAACGTTCTTCATTTTACTGCAGGTTTGGCAAACTTCTGTCTTTTTGAAACGCATCTGTGTGCCTGGGCACCATCTGAATACGGTAAAGGGTCGAGCACAAATCTGACAAGCAAGACAGCATAATCTCAGAAACAATAGGAAACAAAAACATTGTTCCAAGCTTCAAGTTTTGTGGCACAGAGTCCTGCAAAGCATACCTTGCATTCTTTCCCGTATTTCTCCTTGGTCTGTAAAACAAAGCATGAATAGACTTACGAGTGCACTGCGAGCGAACAGCTTCCAGTTGAGCACTATGAAAGCTCACTTACCATTCGGATGTACGGATTTTCTCCCAAACATGTTTGACACAAAATTGGAAAGTCCTGGAAATTAAAACAACACAAATGTTCATTTAGCAAATGAAATACTATAAACTTTATTTATTAAAACAGTTCTTTGTTTAAACTATCTGAAGCTGTATCTGTCCTCTACTTGGGTTGGGGATCTTGGCAAATTTACATGTGTGAATCCAGAGAATGCTTTAGGACCAGCTCTCCCACACTTAGCCATCTGTTGAAAGATGCTGTTTCGGTCCAAAGTGCTAGCTGCTGAACATGACCATTGCTTTAATCCATCCTTTTGACAGCTTCAGCCAATGTCTCAATATAAGCAGCTTTGCATCAACCACACATTTTAAAGCTACAAAGTTTATAGTCTGATGCCGTAAGAAAACCAACAGAGGCCAAACACACTGCTGTTTCATTACTCATAAAAGAAAATAGATGTCTCCCTCATAGCAGAACTACAAGCTAAAGTCGTCCAGTTACTATAAAATTTTAAGCTAAAAGGAACTCAAACATAAAACTTTTTTTTAATGACAAATCCATCCTAAAGGACTTAGAGCAAAAGCATTTTTCACTCTTGAACAACTGATTGTGACTTTTGATTTCAAGTTCTGTTAAATCCTCGAGTTTTGTAAACTCATACATGTATTATTTATGCTAAAACATTGACGATGCTAACAATTACAGCTCAGGTATTTAGCAAACAAAAGTAGTCTCTTACGGAAACACTGATGTTTTAAACACAACTGCTAGGTTTAACTTTTCATTCACGCTTGTACCAAAAAAAAAAAACCTTTAATACTATTGTGTGGCCGGTTCGATACGCTACACTCATTTCTTGAACAGTTAACGTTTATAATCTGCGGCTACATTCGTTTTAGCCTGTTAGCCTGAATGGCTACCTTTAACACAACCAGTGTTCCGAGTTAAATAATAAAACTTATTTAGAGCCATGTTTCGGACGTACTTGCTTGGGCTCAGCCGCTTACATTTATTTGATTTATTTGGTACACTTGCCCTTTTTTTATTTAGTTGACGCTTCTTGCACTGAAGCTCGCTAACCATTAGCTGGATGCTAGTAGCAGCCACGCTTATACAACTAGCTAGCGGAAGGCTAACCGGCGGCTACTAAGCAAACTGGGGTATGTTTTTAAATACTAATATTTGTAATTTAACAGCCGGTTATATTTTGTTCACTCTCAAAAGAGGCGCTTCGGGATGATTTTTTTTTTATGTGGGAATAATAGAGTAAATTCACGTACCGCGTCTTCCCAGTTCTGTCTGTTGTAGGTGTTGGATCCCAGGGAAGTCGCCATTTTGCAAACGGAGAGCCAAACAACGAGAGAGACCCAGCAGACACTGCGCCGCTTCGCCTTACGGTGTCGCCCTATTTCAAGAAACTATTCAGAGTCAGAGTCAGAGTCAGAGTTTCTTTATTGTCATTCGCGCCTCATGTGGTACATGTGGTGGAGCGAAATTATGTACACGGGGTCCCAGTTACATCCAACAATAAAATGTCTAAGAAAAACAGTAATAAGATCTAAGATATGAACTAAGAAAACATCAACTAAATATACACTAAGCACTCATAACATAAAACATTGAACATCAGCACAAACATGAACATGAGTATGTGAGCAGATGTGCACACATGAACACATCAACATTGAAACAGATCAGCAGCAACATGAAACAGATCAGCAGCAACATGATATGGTTTTTCACAGTGATTATTCTAGTTAGAGATTCATGAGTCTAACAGCCTCAGGGTAGAAGCTGTTCCTCAGTCTAGTGGTTCTACACTTAATGCTCCTTAACCTCCTTCCTGAGGGGAGTGGGGCAAAAAGTGTGTGTGCTGGGTGGGTGGGGTCCTTCATGATGCAGGTGGCCCTCTTCCTGCATCTGGAGGTGTAGATGTCTGTGATGGTGGGGAGACTGATTCCAACAGATTTCTGTGCAGCCTTCACCACTCTCTGCAAAGCTTTTCTTTCTGCAGCTGTGCAGCCTCCATGCCACACGTTGATGCTGGAGCACAGGATGCTCTCCACTGCACACCTGTAGAAGGAGGTGAGGACTGAGCTTCCCAGACCAGCTCGCCTCAGCCGTCTGAGGAAGTAGAGTGTCTGATGAGCTTTCTGGATCAGGCTGGTGGTGTTGTTGCTCCAGCTGAGGTTGTCATTCATGTGTACACCCAAGTACTTGTAGCTGGAGACCACTTCCACCGCAGATCCTCTTATGTTCAGGGGAGTGTAGATGTTTTTGTTCCTTCTGAAGTCCACAATCATCTCCTTTGTCTTCTTCACATTGATGTGAAGGTTATTCTCTCTGCACCTTCTTCATTTCCCCCTCAATTAAATATAAAGCTATTACTGGCATTTTTTCTTGGCTGTTAAACTAAAATAGTTTTAAAAGCTAGCAGACTGTGAACCAGCGACAATAATGACCTGATTTTATTATGAAATTCTGAGGTGAAACAATGACTCAGAGACAAATCTGAGTCATTTAACCCAAGGGCAGCAGGAGGGTTGAACCACCATGTCAGTTTTAAAGTAGGGGTGTAAATCACCAGCTTTACCACGATACGATATTATATTGATTTGTTTGTATGATGATACGATTTTTCTCGATATCACAGTCTGTCACGATACGATTTTGATTCTATTCGATTCACAAGTCTGCGATCGATATATAGCGATATCAAATGCCCATCTCATTTACATACAAATAAATTTACAAAAACAATTCAAATGTGATTGAACCATTTTATTTCTGTTGTTACAGGCACCAGGCATTTAAACTAAAAACATTTTTTCTTAAATAATGAAAAAATAAAAATAAATAACCTGTTCAGTATAGTCTCACATTTCTTATGTTTAAGTGCATTTTTTAAACCCGTTAACTTAAAAGTATCCTGATTACCTTTCAGTTATAAAGAAACAAAAATAGATATTGAGCTTGCATAATATGACTATCAATGCCGTGTTTCTTCTTCAGGTGAACGGCTAAATTTGTTGTTTCCCGAGTATTTTAAGTCACACTGGCACCTGTTTCATACGACATGAGTTTTGTCCGTTGAGCCGTCCTTCTGTTGGAATCAAAAATATTTCAACAGTGTTGATTTAAATCCAGCAGGAGAGTGAAGTTCATTATCTGTGTTTTCTGCCTCGTCTGCCATGTTGCTGAGGCGGCCGCAGCCGCGTACGGAAATGGTGACACAGACGTGCCTTGGGAATTTCAAAATAAAATCGTATTTTAAATATGACTATATGAATCAATGTTTTAGTTTTGCCATGATATAATTGAATCATTAATCATTTAATCGGTATATCGATATAAATCGATGTATTGTTACACCCCTATTTTAAAGATCTTATTTTTATGTTGGGATCAAATTGTATAAATCATTTTGGTCAGCAGTTGTCACATAAAAGCATAATAAATATTAGCTGATTAAAGTGGCCATCTGAGTGGAGGAACGTTGATTATTTCACACCAAGAGAAATATTTTATGACCTTAAATTGCTTGATGTGAAAAATGCAGTCACTGTGTAATTAAATATTCAAAACTGTAATTACACTGAGCTATTTTGTTAAAAATTCAGGATTAGATATAGACCTAATCTATTTCTGGGGCTTTAATGCCTCGTAGCTAACCAAAAGAAAGCTGCAGTAATAATTGCACACTCAGTCTCAGGTTTGTGTTTATGCTGCATTTTATTCCTCTAAAAATAATAAATAACATACACGTGGCTCTACTGATGACATTTTCCATTTAAAAAAATATCAGAATGCAGTGTTGTTAAATACACTTAAAATGACTTGCACTCAGTATATTTTTTTATACTTGGGAGATGAGGCAACTTATCATCACAATAAATAAATTAAAAGGGAAGAACAGAAGAGGCCTAATCCAAATGTGTCGACCACTCGTGATTTATCTTTCCACCTCGTTCGACGTGCGTTGAGGTGTCCTTCTTGCATGAAACTGATTAATCTGGTGAGGGATGCTGGAGATTATGACCAGGTATTAAATCCTGAATATTTATTCTAGTTCAGAGTGAGGTTGTGAGTCAAACGGCTGAGTTTACAAAGCTTTGAGAGCTGGCAAAGTAATCATTTTGCCTATTTCCAGGGCAAAAGGTGTCTGAATACTGGAGTAAATTAGGGGTAAAATCCCTTTGCCTGCATACTCTGTGACCATAATGGAAATTTCCACTGGCCTCTACCCCTTGTTTTCCTTATCTGGATGGCTTCACCTTATTTGGAGGACATGAACCCTCGGGAAGCTCCTCTCCTAATGAGTCATGTGACTTAAGGATGAGATGGCCAAAGCTAATTTAAAGGAAAGCTGTCAGTTGGATTTTTTTACGCTCCACGATCATCACCTTAGGAGTCAAAAAGTCATTGGATGTGTAGGTGTTCAAAACATGGCAAACACTCTGTTTTAGAGCCAATTTTAAAGGATATTTGGGTCATTACACGTGGTAATTTGTATAAAAAATTAAGAACAAAAAGAAAAATCCATCATTTGCGTTGACCTCTATGAGGTTTAGGCAAACACAGTAGTTTTATCAAACAAATCTGGTTTGGTAGTCGGGTGTGCTAAGAGTCAATGTCTTGTCCATGTAGTTCAAGAAATAAACAGGTTTTTATCCACATTTGGACTGTCCATTATTAGTCCTGCTGGGTGAAAGCTGCTCAACCTGAGGCCTGTCTGATGCAATGGGAAACAGGGGGGCTGAAAGTGCTACAGCGCCGCCCCCCCCCCCACGCCCCCAATAGATGCCAGAGAAAATGCATAACATGGATTAAAGCTGTCAAAATATGCAATTTTTCAGTGTTTTTCATTTGAATTTTTATGCTTGTAGCACAATTTCTACATCAGTAAATGTCTGTTTGGAGATAATGTAACTTAAACTAATCAAGAATTTTGTAAAAAAAAAAAAAAAAAGTTAAAATATTCCTCGCCTTTGTTTACAGCTTCGTTTCAGCGTTCTGAATATCTCGGCACAGCTCATTTACATTTGATTTTAGCACCAAGTTTTACTTTACTGCTCTCCCGTTATCAATTTCCTCCTCCAAAATGAGTGTACTTCTCTATTCCTTGCAGCTTGTCGTCACCGTTTCATTTCAGAAGAAAACAGAAGAACTTTATTTCACTTTCAAACTGGTGCTCTGATCTCATTGTTCTCCCTCCGACTCCGTTTACATCCGATAATTATTTCACCAACAAAATATTCATTGTGTTAGACTTTCTGGAGTGTACTCATCAGCGTTTCCTTTTAAACAAATTGTTGGCAACAAAACACGTCGCTGCTTTGCTCATTTATTACAAATTATGATGTGGACTTTTGGTTGTGAATGATGTGCATTTAGTGGTTATTTACACACATTTACAAAAATTTCACATAAAACATTGAAAATTCCGTGTTCTGACACCAGTATTAAGACTTAAAATAATACTAATAAAAATAACTAATAAAAACTGGCTTATTAGTATTGCATATGTATAAGTTCAAATAATATTTTGAAATGAATCCCTTTTGTAAAAGTTTTATATCTAAATCCCTCTCACACCCCCAAACCAAATCATGCTCGTGGGCTATGAGCCACACATACTGCAAATCTACAACAGGTTAGATACTTATTGCTCATATCCTTTGTAAAGAATACAGTAGCAAAGGCTCTCAAAGTTGGGATTTGGGGTCCCAGTGGTTCATGAAACACTAAATAGTGAGTCTTGAGAAGACTTGCAAGAATCTAATTCACTTAAAAATAATCAGCTACAGCCCATTTAGTCGTAACTGTTCAAAATATAACAACTGTAATTACAAATGCATAAAAATAATCATTAAATGTTTGAGGGCGCTTTTGGTTAACAGACTTAATGACTCCCTTTACAAAACAAATCGTCTATGATGCTATGGTCAAATACTCTTGTCTTCCCCTGAGCGCATTTTCATGGAAAAGTAATAAAAGTTTCGAGCTGAGACACTTAAATCCTTTCGAAAGTAGTGTCTCACACGCTGTAAATGCCCTTATAATCCCTGCACTGTGGAGAGATAAACCTCTGCAGGAAGATGCACCGCTTTGGTTGACGGATGCGCGCGCATTTACAGCGTTGCCAGATATGTAATAATTATCGTATTTATACGGTTGTTTAGCGTCTATAGATAAATACTTTTCAAAACGTCCAAAATATGTGATATACTCGGCATTTACTCGCACAGATTAAAAAAAAAGTTTTTATACACGTGAACACTTACATATTATCAAACAATTTGGATGAAAATACGGCAGTTTTAAAGCGTCACTACGATGTTTCGTAGTTTTCTATCTGGCAACTCCGGCGTGGAAACAAAAAAAAAAGTGCCGCGCTGGCGCCTCCTGAAGTCAGCTATGAGTTACTGCCGGAGCACAGGGCGACTCAAGAGAGGGGCTTTCTCACATTTCCCGATTTCTCCCGGCTGTATCCGCCGTACCGCTCCCCCCACAGCGGCCGACAGCGAGTCGAGACGACGACGACGGCCGCCTGGTGATCTTTAAACCCCGCACACACTCCAAGCAGCTCCCCGTCTGATCCAACCGAGGTGAGTAAAAGAGATGTCCGCTCGTGTTTTCTTGTTTGCTACACGACCGAGACGTTCGGCTCGGTCTCCCAGGCAGGCCGGGGCTACCACCAGTGAACGCTGTCTGTCGCATGAGATGAGGCCAGTTTTTTTTTTTCCCCCGGCCTGACTCGAAATAAGAAGCCCCGGCGACGCAGTGGAGGCTCCGCGCCGCTCTCGGCTCCCCTCGGCCGGCGGAGGGAGAGGGGGAGCTAACGTGGCTGCTGACGCCGCTCACAGGGAGACTTCCCCGGGATAGAGCTGCGCGTCCGGCCGCTCTGCTCCGGGATTTAATGTCGGAATTTTTCTCTTTTCTGAATCAGGTCCAGTGAATGCAGCCTGGCTACCGTCGACAGGCGAGCAACTTGTTTTTGTAACTTTGCAGTGGCTGCAACGAATGTTTCCATTGCTAATTATTCGAGTTAGTTCAAGCATGTAAGATTTTAGCTGCTGTAGTTAAAAAAAAAAAAAGCACATTTGGTGTTAAATTAGAAATCTCGTACTGTGCATCTGAAAGAGGTGGGCACAAGGTTACATTTGTGGGCTTTGGCTTAATTCTCAGTCGTAATAACAGCTTTGTGTTGTGAAATGATGCAGTAAAATGAATATGAGATGTAAGATTTCTCACGCAGGGTATTATTGCTCTGCCTTCATTCCTAATAGTCCACTGTAATGGAAGGGCACAAACAAACTGAATCATCCTGATTGTGCCACTTTCTTGAGTCAGCAAGTGGTTTGTTATATTTGTTGTTCATGTCTTTTCCTGCTTGACACATACCTGCAACATGGATACCCTTCTGTTTTGGAGATGGTGCAAATGTCTGTCTCCACCAGGAGCTGCATATATTAAACACTATAAACACTTATTCTTTGTAAGGGGGGCAAGGGAAAGGAGGCTGTCCAGACCTGCTTGAAATCTTTTGCCTTGGGGGTGCACGCTCATGCAAGCAAGCGCACACCAAAGTGAGGAAGCTTACTGAAGAAGAATGACTCACGCTTTAAATGTGTTTGGCAAAGACGCGAGGACTTCTCCCCACGTCTCGCCCTCAGCTGCAGAACAAATTCTTGCAACTGCGATTTGCGCCGTCCCTCTGGCTTCATGAGATTTATTCCAACAGCGTTTCACATTAATGTTATCCCCCAGCCATATGTTGTTTATCACGTGCTCCACCCTGCTTTTGTTGAGGAGGGGGGTGTACATGGGGCTTATTCCATTTGGAAATTACAAATCAAAAGAAGAGGACTTTTGCTGTCGTTTGTTTGTCAAATTTGCAGGGAGTCGAATTGTAAGTAGTGTTCTGTTTATCCGTGCCAACTGTTTGTCTCGTTGTTCTAACCCTCCCATCTGACTGCCTCCATCGGCTGCCAAACACGCTGTGGTCTGGCGCTTTTAGCTGATGAAGGCTGCTTCAGCTGCTGAATGGATCTGATCATATATCAGCACTTTTTATGCTTTTTGCTTGCACATACCTGCAATGTGGTGCAATGGCTTCTCAATGCCTGCCTAAACTTTAGAGGCTGATTAAAAATCCATGTTGGCGTGTGACAAATGGCATCGCCGAGAGGCATTTTGTGGACGTTTTGTCACGACGAGTAAATAACCAGATCAGGGGTTTTGAACTGAAAGGTTGCTTGTTGCTCTGAGCTCCGGCTGCGTTCAGGTTATCTCCTCGCAGAGGAGGATGTCGATTTGATCGCATCCAGGTGCCGTAACTCTACCATCACATTTAATGTTAAACAGAGTAATTGTTGGGAGCTACAGGATCCACAACATGCCGGCGCTTGTATTTTTCCATGTCAGTGGCCCTTGTAGGCACTCTCAGTGTGTGGGGAGCAGACCTCTTGTAGAGTGAGGCTAAAGCCAGGCATCTTTCCAAAACTCAAGCCCCCCTCCCCTCCTAACTTTCTCTGCCAGGTATAAGCACTGCTTTGTGCTTCAGCAATGCTCCTGATGGTATTTACTCCTACTACTACAACACCACTGTCTACTGGAAGCTGCAGTTGCAAATGTACCTAAAATATCCTGCTGTTTGACAAACTCCGATATTTCCTCGTTCAGTCAGGCTTTTGGATTAATATGCCAGCATGCAGGAGGCAGATTGTAATGCTGGTTTAGTGTAAAGCACCTTGTATTAAAGTGTCTCTTTCTGCTTAGAATGTGGTATTATTTTTTTATTTGTTTTTTGGCTTAGGCTGCACAATCGTGAGGGATATTGGTGAGTAGGAGCAAAGTAAATACATTTCGAACAGCTCAGCAAAACCGAGTATTAGCAAATGATCCGATAGCATCTGTAATCCTCAGGAAAACCTGGGCAGTTGTTTTTGAACGGTGCTAGTCTCCATTAGACAGTTGGCAGGCACTAAAGGGTGGGGGGTTGCGGGGGTTTGTCCACATGTGTGACTGGCTGGCTAGGCTAGCGACCAGGCTGAATGCTACAGTGTGCAGGCAGATCAGATTACTGAACGATTAGCCATGGCCTCCTATCCACGGCCCTGAGAAATGATTTTCCACTGTCATAATTCCCCAGAATGAATTATGCAGGCCAGTGACTCAGAGATACTCAATACTATGGCCCTGAGTACTGCGTGGCATAACTGTTGCTCTCTGGAGAGGGCAGGTATGTTGTGCCATTGTTGCACCAGAGCAGAAAATAGTTATCTAATTTAAATGTTTTGTTGAGCTTGCTTTGGTTGCCCTCAAGAAAGGATATACACCACCATTCCGAATGAACGAGGAACGTTTTGTTTCAGCTGGAGCTCGAGTTTAGATTAAAAGTATTTGTTTTAAAAGACGGTGTATGTTAAGCAACACATAAATTAAATATAAATGTGTCCAAGTTAGCCATTTTTTTTATTCAAGAGTCCCTGAATGACTTGTCTTCTAAGATTTTAAGTGCATTTTTAGTGTAGGGATTTTAAAGCTGCTTTGTGTGCTCTACACCAGCTCATCAAACAATAATATACGAGAAAATAACTGAAAGTGCACTTTGCTTCCTCGTGAATATTAAATAAAAATGGATCAAACTAAACTTTAGACCATATTGTTTTCTGTGAAACTCGCAACCACGATTTGAAGTTAAATATGCGAACCTGGATATTTATGTTCTAAAACAACTCGTGGTGTCTGTCCTGAGATGAAAATGTCTCGGTGTATGTTTTGAGGATGTTTCTTTAAGAACTGTTTTTGATACAGTCAGCTGTGAGAAACATCTGTTGAGCCTTTTCCATAACATCTGTTAGCTTACGTACAGCCCCATCTGTGGTTATACTGAGTGGAACATCTGAATCATCTGCATACATAATATAGAATGCGCGATGTATATGGTACATGGTAGAAACGATAGACATTTAGCCTGTGATAGAGATGGTAAATGGTAATGGACTGTACTTGTATAGCGCCTTTCTATCTTATCGAGATACTCAAAGCGCTTTACACTACAATCTGTGCCTCATTTACCCATTCACACAGCACTCTACTAGAGCTCTACAAAGCTAATTGGACAAATCATTCTAAATATAATAATCAGTGATTTATCACATTCATACACCGATGGGACACATCGGAGGCAACAAGGGGTTCAGTGTCTTGCCCAGGGACACTTCGGCATGTGACTGCTGGTGGATTCGAACCCCCAACTCTTGCATTAGAGGATGACTGCTCTAACCACTCAGCCACAGCTGTCTGTATTCAACTGGCTAACCGCAGTAATGCTCTGTCTGATTTAAAATCAGAGCTGCCAGATTTAATCATTACTTTTTTGAGTTGAAAACTGTGCATAAGTGGTGTTAAAAGTCTTCTTCGAGAGCTAAGTAGCGAAGCTACAAGCTAACTACAGCTGGCTTGCCGTAGTGTTGCCATACAAGCTAACTGCCAGCTTGCCGTAGTGTTGCCGTATCCGGACGCATGCGCAAAACGCTGTGTTCCATCAAAAGTTTTTTTTTTTTTCCCGTCAAAAGTTAAAGTAAGCGTTGGTCAGCTTTAGAGAAACCTGCTCCCTGATCTGTGAAAAGAATACTGTGTTGTGTGATTTTACTGCAAGACCCTCTGGTCAAAGCCACAGAGGAAACTGGTTGCCATTTTGTGTCAGCTCTCCTTAAAGCGGAAGGAGACGCCCACTAGAGGGTTGGAGGGTGATGTGTTTCAGTGTAAAATGCTGCTCTGTTGCTGTTCATTTCTTAAGTGAGAATACTGGAAACTGTTAGTGTTAAGAGTTAACAACATATTATTTGGTTTAAAACATATGGCTAAAACTACATTTAATATCTTTTGCACTGTTTTGCAATACAATAAAGAAGCCAAATACTTTATTTATTTTTTAAAAACTCTCTGGACCCAGTAGTGGAATTTTCTTAATTGAGGTTATTTTGTAGTATAGCAGTTTTCAAAATAAATGATGGCAAAAGGACACCCTATGCTTTTTTTCATTCCTATTGTAAGTTGTATACCAAAAACATATTGTGATTGTGATATCGTTATTGCCACCCTTCACAATACATATTGTGATATGAATTTTTTGCCATATTGCACATCCCTAATACATAAAACATCTTTGTCTACACCACACATAGAACGCAGATCATTAATAAATGTTATAAATAGAACTGGGCCTGATACAGTACCGTGTTGGACACCCACTGATGTGTGTAAAAGAAATCGGATTTCTAACTTTCAAACGTAACAAAGTGAGACCAAAACAAGGTATGTTTTTTACTGAATTAAACTTTTATAAAAAAAACGTAAAGTGAGGAACTCATCTAAGAGAATTTGATGACATCAATTGATTTCTATAAGTTGAGGAACACGACTGCAACAGTCCCATCTTTTATCAACGACCACCATCCATTTAAAAGAGACAATAAAAGGCCATTATTAATTCTTTTCACTGTGCTTCTGGTATTACGGGTGTATCACGAAATTGGACCGCACGACAAATGCACGATGAGGTGGTTTAAATGAAGAGGGCCTCGGGTGGTATTTTGCT